TTGAAAGTGAATGAGTTAAATCAAACGTAAATTTAATTCATTTTAAATTAAATAAAATACACAGTTATGGGTGCTTTGTATTTCAGCAGGATGTGAACACCTCAGCTCTTCACTAGTCCCCAGAGCCTCTCGGCCACCGGTGACGTGAAAATTAATGTCTTATATCACACCTGCATTTCCCTAGACACCCCGCGGAAACACCAAATCCTTTTGTGTTGACACCTGTTAGGGTCCACAGCTTGAGCTTCTGGCGATTACCCCTGTGTTTCTGGGGAATTTACAGTAAGAACCGTCGGTCGGCTCGGGTGATTTCTTTCTCCATCAATGCACTTGCTGGCTTTCATTGCCTTCAATCGCCAACGCATGTTGTGTGCGCAAAGTCTGGCTTTCAACAGATGCGTCAAGCCAAGTTTGACTGCCCTCCCGCGTGTGTGTTAACGAACTCACACAACTATGGATAGCATAAGGCTTGTATGGTATTCATGTTTATATGTTGTGTGGTATATTTGATTCTATGCTGGAGGGCGTAGTTTATTGTATATTGTACTTCATGGTTGGTTACCTACATAGTATGTAGCTCCTGCACAATTGGTTTCACACTGGGCGTTGCCGCAACGCGTTGGCACCTCCGCAACGCAACATTTGCAGCATTTAGGTTCTCAAAAAAGTAATAGCAAGTTGAAATGTTCATACTAACTATCGCTACAAAATTCCCCAACCTCTTTGTGGATCTATAGGCGTACGTGCAAACGGCTTTCGTGACTGGCATATAGTTGCAACCCGGAGAGTTGCAAAGAGTTCCGCTTGCAAACAGCTGAAGCTACTATCTTCTTTCAGCTGATTGGGGGGAAGACTTGAAGCAACGAAGTTATACACTTCAAGGCAACTGCTTGGCCTTGGCGTGTCCAATTGCTTCTCCCTCAGTCATTTTATGCATAACGTATCGTACACGGAAATGTAAAAATGAATAGAAACTCTTCCGCTACTCGGAAACTACAATTTGGGAAATGGAAACACGTGCAGCATTGCATACGAGGGGGATATCCTACACTGGGTGTTGTGCATCTTCTGTATAGCTGTGTGTAAAATGTAGGGGCCGTGTGCTCGGCGTGTTGTTGTGTTTACCATACATCTCTCTGTCGATAGTTTGTACATCTGCCAACAATGGAGCCGGATGATTCCCCTTTGTATTTCAGTATTTAACAGCGATTAAATAAATATACTTTAATTGGTTTATAATGAATTCTATAAATATAATTAAATAAACAAAGCAACAGAAAGTGAAAGAGAACAGAAAAAATATAACACTGTATCCAAGGCCTTCTGTATAAATAAACGAAGATTCCTATGTCAGCTCGGCTGTTCTTAGAAAACCGATGGATAGAGTTAACAACACAACTGGAGTTTGTGATAGAATCAACATGACAAT